TTGGTGGCTGACTAAATACTTTTTTGCCCCACTGTATGTATGTATGTATGTATGTATGTATATATATAAAATTGAAAATATATTAAATTATATATCACTTTGAGTTACATTTTAAAAAGGCAGGATAAAAATCTAATAATAGTAATAATAATATTTGCTGAGAACCTGCAGCTTATTAACTACCAGCTCTTTCCCTTGAATTCAAATCACTGTAGTGAAGTTGATCTTACCTTGTAGTATTTAAGGACAGCAAGTTTCACCTTCTTTCTCTTATGCTTGTTCTTCTTAGGAGTAGTGTAAGACTTCTTCTTTCTTTTCTTAGCCCCACCACGAAGTCTCAGCACAAGATGAAGGGTGGACTCCTGTGTTTTGGGTTTTTTTTAAGAAAACAAAACTTAAGGATAGAAAATAACATCCAGATTTGAGCATTTCTGTGATGCAGCAACAAGCGCAGAATTAGACAAGGAAATCAAAAGAGGGTTTTCTGCTCAGTCATAAAGGTTAGTGGGCAGCTTTGGTCAAGCCATTCAGCCCAACTTGCTCATTATGCAACTATTCAGAATGAGTGTGCTTGTCTTACCCTACCTGAAAGGAAAAAGTAGCATATGAAAAACCAGCACGGCACAACTGGCACTTCGTTAAATCTTAATGCCGTTAAAATAGGCAGATTTGGGGCTTGTGCAATCTTGTTTTTTTACTAAAATCCAAAGTCTGTTACTTTGAGCCAGGTGCAAAATCTGATCTTTGCCTACTGCTGTGAATTTTTTATACCATCTGTATAAAAATTCATTATCTGTTACCATAGCATTGTAACACAACTTCTCAAACTGGAGAATAGAACTGTATAAAAATCCTTAAAAGCAACTAAATATTAAGGAAGAGTGTCTGAGAGGTAACTAGATAACAGAGTTAAGGACGACTATCTGAAAGATAACTTAATAATTGAAAGAAAGCTATAGAGAATATTTTTTAACTTTTAATTTTGCCTTCTATTGTTAAAACTTCAGACACAGTATGTGAAGACCTAACTCTTTGGAAAAGATTCTAACACTGGGAATGGTGGAAGGAAAAAGAAGAGGATGACCAGCAGCAAGGTGGATGGACTCAGTTACAGTGGCAATTGGTGCACCAAAACCTGAAGGACCAGGTTAGGGACAGATCATAATGAAGAAAATCTAGCTATGTGGTCGCTAAGACTTGAAAACTATTTAATAGTACGTAAATTAAATTATTGTTAAAACTACTGGAAACCAGGAACCATTGCCTACCTACCACAGATACTGCAGAAAAAACAATCATAATACATCATTATGGCTTTCAAATTCTCATTCCTGCAATCTTCTACTTGCTAAAATAATATCAACTTCCAACATGTGGTCTTAGCAATGTTTGAATAAGTCTGCAATGTTGGTGGGGAACTGATGGCAGCCAAACATATCTAGAGCAAGTTGTGCAAAACAGAAGAGACATCTTTAATAGAACCCAGACCTACTCACACAGAATGTGTAAGACTATTGCCACGGGGTTTCCCCACCCACCCTACTGGAATAAGATGGAAGGTGATGCCATGCATTTG